AGGTGTGCTGGTACGAGCAGACACACCTAGCACCTCCAGTGGGACTCCATCTATTGGTGGGGAGCATCACCTGCTGGAAACCGGGTCCAGCGTCCCATTTGGTACATCATTATAAAGAAGTCCTTTGGAACCGAATGATGGGTCCAGCAACTCTCCCTATTTAAGAAGATAATGGGGGCCCCACGCCACCGTGGCATGAACCTAAGATTATCTTTTTCCGACTGCTTGTAACCTGAAAATGGAAAACCTGCTGAGAAGGAGAAAAAAATCTTCACCCAGGACAAGGCGCCAGATGTTTTCTTCCTTTTCTAGTCTTTCCAGCTCGCAGACTTGAGTTCAGAATTTGGTCGCGGGCAGGGGAGAAAAAAACTTACTAAATTCCCTTGATAAGACCGGGAGTGAAGCATCATACAAAAGAGTCCTTGCCATACCAAGAGATTGGAACGAGAGCATTATTTGGAACAGTGAACAGACTTGGAAACTCTTGGGCTGGGCGAAGGGGAATTGAAGGGTTCACTGTCACTGTGGTCCAATCATTGAATTGAAGTCTATAGTTTCCGACAAGAACTTTTTCATTCTCTGTTTCTGCTTCCTCCCAGTCCACCCTCCAAATTTTTCCCCCATCCCCCCCTCCAGCCAGTTGCTGCTGAAATTCTGAAGAGCTTGGGTGATTTCTGTTTTTGATGAGTTGAACTGAATTTTTTCTTTTAGATCAGTCCACTTATTCTGTGTATGAGTTTGGATTTGCTGCTTAATACTGTCGGTGAATTCTAGGCCATCTAATCTGACTTATTCCCATTAATAGGTATTCCTTCTTTGCCAAATAGCCCATAAGACCGCCCTTCTCCCCAGAGTGAATAAGTTTTGTGTGAAGCTGTCGTTTGGTTCTGGCGACCAATGGTCAAGCAATAGTGCTTTCCAATCCCACGGCCAGAGACCGTGGAATCTCGATCTTACGATATTAATGATATGTTCAGCTTGTTACCCCACGACGAGATTGTGAATGTTGTCAAATGGCTATTGGATTACGATGTTGGGAAGGGAAGACACTTTGTGAGGGTTAACACACGCGGCCGAGGCGCGTCTTTTGGTCTGACCACGGGCTGTGAAACACCCGCGGACGCGTCAACGAGGCTGATCTCGTATGGCGGCCGCATATGTGGCCTCGTCCGCGGCCGTCCTGGTCCACGCCGCGGACCCGATTTTACGAGAATTTTCCTGAATTAAATAGCAAGTAAAAATAAAACCAAAAAAATGGGGTTGTAGGGAATTTTAAGCCCTACAACCCTATTTTTTTTTTTTTGGAATCCGATTTTGTTTAGGATTTAAAAAAAAATCAAAAACTAAATTGGATTTAAAAAAAAAAAAAAAGCAAGAATTTTTTTTTTGTCATTTTTTATCATGAGATATATGGTCCCTCAGTTGATCTGTATTTTTTTATTTTTTTTTAGAAATGAATTTCTGTTTTTTACAGGGGTATGAGGTGTTTAAAAAAAATGCAGATGCACAAATTTCGAAATAAATAAACAGAAAAGAGGTTTGATTGATTGATTGATTGATTGATTGAGTGTGAGTGAGTGTGTGTGTGTGTGTGTGTGTGTGTGTGTGTGTGTGTGTGTGTGTGTGTGTGTGTGTGTGTG